TGTTTTTGTTTTTTTTAAACAATTTTACCTTTAAGGTTTTTTTTTTTTTTTTTTTTTTTTTTGGTTATAAAGCTATTTAGACATAATCATGTTTTTATTTACATGCTATTTCTCAAGAGGAAATTTCAGACCTATGACATTTGAGAGCTTCTTTGTTTAGATCTTGAAAACTGAAAGACTATGACAGTTTTTTCTGTAGTGGTGATTATAAGTTAATAAAACTCCAAATGTATGTAAAGATGAATATTATATCATTAAGACAGTATTAAGTGTTTCTAATGACCTAATCCTGTAACACTTCCTTATGCATTTGATTATGTTTTTTGGAGAAGAAAAGGTATATATGGTTATTATTCCTGTACATAATGATACAGGTAGCAAATTCATGGCAACACCTTAAAAAATAAAAAGCTTTATTAAAATGCCTTGAAATAGAATGGGTCTTCTAGTAATAAAGCCACATATCAGTAAGGTATCAAGTGAGGGAAGAGGTAAAATAGTAGTTCTCTTATTGACCTGTCTTACAGTTGATGAAATTTGAAGACCTTGAAAATTATAGTGGTTTATTTGGAAACGAAAAGCTAGTTCTAAAAAGTAAATAGTGCATGTTAATGATAGGCAGTCAGAATTAATTTGGGTGTCACAGATGCCATCATAAAATGACTATATATCTGCTCTTATTTCTCTTGTACTTCTTGGTGGTTATGGATTTAGGAAAAGGTGCAGTGCAGCGCAGTTTGCCCAGTTCCTTTACAAGTCTTTCGTTTGTCTTCTGATGCTAGTCTCATCATCAGTTCAGGAAACAGCTGCACTTGTTGGTAGCAGGTGCTGTTTATATAAGGAAGAGAGCATGGCTTTAGGTATAGATTATTCTTTCAATTTGTTGATTTTAAAAAATTGATCTCTTTAACTGTCATGTTACTTTACGCCCATACACTTACCCTTTTATATTTTAAAATTGATATTAATAAATATCTGTCTAGAAGTAACTCAAATTTGTGACCATAATGTATTTTTTTCTTGCTGACTGATAGTATAAATTATTTATCATTTTGTCATTCAAGATATGAATTTAGAAAACAAAAGTGTTATATATTGGTTAGAATATTAACAGAATATTCTAATAGAATGTTAACATATTCTATTTTCTTTTAAAAATTAGTAAATCTATTCTAATTAGAAATGGATCGGAGCTTTAAGCTTCACAATGTATAGTAAGTATCTCTAGTTTTCCAGTAATACCATACCATAAAGTTCTAAGTTATTGATAGTTGTAACCTGTAAATTAAATAAGCACTTAATAAGTTTTCAAATACCAAATTATATAATCACTAATGTTTTTTTTGTAATTATTTTAGTTTGTAATAGTTGTTGTGGACAGTACAGACAGAGAAAGGATTTCTGTAACTAGAGAAGAACTCTATAAAATGTTAGCCCATGAGGTAAGTAAGATTTTGGCATTAGATATGTGCGGGTGGGATATTTCTATCACATTTGTTCTGTGGTCTTAAGAGGATACTTTAAGAAATGTAGTTATCTTCTGGTTATACCTGCTTTATAATTTTGACACTTCCCAAACTGGAAGTGTGTCTGGAAGCAGCAGAAAGCTTGTGGAGTCAGTTATAGAATTTTATTTCATTTATCCTAGATAAATTTGGTCTAGACGTTTTCCTGAGCAAAAAAACCTAAATTGGCTTTCATTTTGCATTTTGAATAGATTAATTATACATAAGATTAATACTGGAAATAAAATTTTAAAGTCTCATAGACACACAGCAAGTTTTGATTGTAACTCCATTATCAGCCTAATATTTAAATATTGTTGCTTTTAGGTTAATCTGATATTGTCCTTTGACTAAATATGACTATCCATATTTTCTTAGTTGTTGAGAAATATTACTGATAGCGTAATTTAAAAATTGAATAAACTAAATAACAAACTAAATAGTAATAATAGTAACTATAAAAACCATACAATATTTACTATAGTGGCAATTGATTATTTTTGTATGCCTCTGATTGCAGATATTATTTTCTCCACTCATTTATAGGTGGAAATAGAAAAATGAGTATTTAGGTGTATGTTATATACTTTTTTATTTTAGTGGATAAAAACAAGAAAACAGGTATCTTTGTAGTACAGTTTTTTTTCTTAATTTTAATATTGGTTCAGTGATTTGCTTTTGAGATTTGCATTAAGAATTTTGGTGTGTTTCTGGAAGCAGTTCAAGACTTAAGGAAAGCTAGTAAAGAGATCTTGCACACCAAGATGCACTTTTCCCTGTTTTAGACTGATTTGGGGCAGCTGTGATAAACCACTTGGGTTTTTTTAAAAACAAAAACAAAAACAAATCTTGCCATTGTGCTTGCATTTAACAAATTCCAATTCTAGTTTGGTAAACAAACAACAAGCTGTAAAAGACAGAAGACTAAAGATTTTTTTCATTTCCCCTTTGTATTTTACTAAAATGCAGCATTCTTCAATTTACACCAAAGATGTTGTTTTATTGTATTATGAAGACTTTGGAGGAAAAAAATAAGACATATTTTTGTCTCTTGGCTATAGTTTTTACTCTTTTAACAGGTAGCCTCCTTATTGCATTCTTTCTCTAACTGGCCGGCATGTAGCAAGATCAGTATACAAAGAGCCCAGTAGTAGGGGTCAAAGCCACTAAATTTTACTTGTGAGGTTCATTAACTTGGGCAGATCACTTAACCTCATCTGTTATGGATGAGTCTACTGAGGCCCAGAGGTCTAGGTGACTTGACCAGCTTTTTAAGAGCCAGGGTTTAAATTTAGGAATTCCTATCATTCACACTCTTTGCTGGGGGTTAAAAAAAGACAGAAATAGGGCCTAGTTGGAAAGTGAAAAGACTGAATGGGGAGATTACCAGGGAGAAAGGAATTACAGATGAAGTTGAGAACTTGGTAAGTCGCTTAATAGGATCAAGAAGAGTCAAATAGAGTTCTGGAGCAGGGATAAGTGGATCAAAGAACAAGAATGTGTTAATAAAAGACGAATTTTGACATAGGATTAGGCAAATGTGTCATGCATGCCACAATAACCAACTATATTTTATCACTGGTAATGATTTGTTATATGTATTACTAAATACAAAACTATAAAATGTTTTAAAACATTGCTGAAAGCTTCATTTTAAATGAAGTGCAAAACTTCGAAGCTCATGAATTTTAAAATAGTTACAAACACAGAAAGACAGATGAAATTTTATTCAGAATGACTCAACTTCTGGGAATTATCCTCACAAATGAAGCTCTGAGGAACAAATTGACAACTACATAGGGCATATAGAAGATACTAAGTAAATACATCTTGCATGTGCTGTTATTCATCTTGAATAAACTAAAATATATTTTTAGACTCTTAAGACTAGAAATCTGTAATACGTAGCGGAAAGTTTTTCAAAGTGTTTAAAATGGCCGATGTATAAAAGAGCACCACTGTATACCTTGTAATTTGATCTCTTGTTGAGTTAGTGAACAGCCTTAATCCAGTGTAACCCTTTTCTGATATTATCATAATGCATAATTGGGTTTGAGGTTATTTAATAAAAAGTAAAGGAAGATTTTCTTTCCTCTCTTCCTAAATATTTAAAAACAGGTAAAATAGCTGTTTGTTTGTTTGTTTGTTTGTTTGTTTAAACCAAGAACCCCAAATAAAAAAGTTAGAGCCTGTGAAATCTAGAAAGATTATAGGTTGGTTTTTTTTTTTTGAGACCTTTCAATAAATGGCTTTGGTGCTTTCCAATTTTTAGTCCAGGGGTTTCTCTAAATAATTTCACTAAAAGTGATGAATATAGATTATTTATAAATAAAATAGTATGAACTGATATTTCCTAATTTGTGCTTGTTCTTTGAATATGCCAGCATTAGCAATTCTGACTCATGTAAAAGATTCCAACAGACACTAGCAAGAGATACTGAAACCTAGAAGACAGGAAGATAGGAATGAAATCCCATGGAAAATTTATCTACTCAGTGATTCAGCCACATATCAACTATTGATAATTGTTCCATTTCCATTTAGGATAAGAGGGAAAAAAGGTATCCTTGAAAATAAATATATATTCACTAGTCATAGTCCATCCATTCAAATTTTCCCTTTTATTTAGACAGGTGAACTGTACATTTTTATGAGGAAAAGGTCTGTAACTTTTAAAAGAACTTCAGGGAACTTCCTGGCTGTAAAAATGGTTGGGAGAAGGGAGGGTGGAGTAGAGTCAAAGGAGACTAAAAAACTTGGTCTGCTTTGTGAGTAAAACATCATCCCATAGGTGAAACATATTGAATATGAAATCTTAAAAGTTAACATTCTTGAGAGTATCCTTTTCTGACAATGCTATTCAGGTGACTGTCATTAACTATAGTGGCATAGCTACAATCCTGCAGAGGGCACTGTACTAAAAGTCAGGCTCCATTGTTACATAAAATATTTTACATAATGCCTTTTATCCAAATAAGAAATTTACTACTTATATTTTTTATTTACATTTGAAAGATTCAAAGAAGTCAATGAAACTATATCCTAACGAGTAAAATAATGTGGAGCAATGTCAGTTTTTACGTACTGAAGACTTTCTGCTTCAAATACTTACACATGATTGAAACCAAAATATCCCACTAAAATCCCTAATAAAAAGAAAGATGGCATTCATCAGTTGAGAAAATTGGCAAATATAGTACCAGAACCTCGTATCTCTGCCTCTATAGAGGCAGAATTTTATGAGAGGTTAATCCACTGAGTGCATCCATCATGGATTCTTAGCCCAGGATTCATGAATGGACTTTAGGGTGTCTGTAAACACCTTAAAATTGTGCATAAACTTTTTTGCACATAAGTACATTTTTATGAGGAAAAGGTCTGTAACTTTTAATAGAACTTCAGGGAAGTTCCTGGCTGTAAAAATGGTTGGGAGAAGGGAGGGTGGAGTAGAGTCAAAGGAGACTAAAAAACTTGGTCTGCTTTGTGAGTAAAACATCATATCAGCCATTTTGAGGCATGCACAATGGTAAAGGTAATTCTTATATTCAGGGCAATAAGTGAACTAACATTTGTTGAGCTGTCACTAAAAGCCAGGTACTAAACTGAATACTTTAAATGGAGTAATTTATTTACTCAGACCTCATCCCCGGAAGGGCAGGTAGGTAGTAGTCTCAGCATTTTACAGATGAAGGACCGTAGCTATAATGAGAAGATCTCAGCTCAAACCAGATCCTATTATTCAGTAGCTATATGACCTTGTATAAGTTACTTACATCTGAGTCTTAATTTCCTCATCTGTAAAGTGGGAATAGTAAAGCCTACCTTATAGCAGTCTTGTGAGATTAAAGAGATTTTATTTAGAAAATGGTTAGTATAATGGGTGTCTGGCTCAGATTAGATACTCAGATATTGGTAATGAGGAACAAATTCGGAAAGGCTAAAGAACTTGCCTCAGAGTCAAGGCATAAAAGTGTAGGACTTACTTTCTGATTGGGAAATTTGATAAGTTTAATGCATTCAATCCAAAATGGCCTTATCAAATATTCAAATCTAAGAAATATTGTTGGACAAAAATAAAGGTGCTAAGTCTCAGATGATGAATAGGATTGTTTTAGGTTAGCACCTCTCAACCAAGAATTAAGCCCTATGGCTCTAAGGCATACATTGTATACAATGAATTAGTTTATTCCTAGGTATCTAGAAGGTAGCCTGTAGTTACCTATACCTAAGGTGTTGATTGCAGTAGAATTTTTAAAAGCTCTTGAGTGCCATGCTAAAGAGTAGTTCTTAGTAGCCAAAGAAGCATAATTTGGGGTTGGAAGAATGGGTAGATGTATATTTGAAGACATGACTGTTTGTTAAATATAGCAGTATAGGACTATTAAGACTATAAATGTAATCTCAGTCTGTAAGAAATACATATATCCATACAAGTATAGACTGAATTATTTAAAATATGTTCAGTTTGAGGTTTCCTTCTATCAGCATAAGAGCTGTAAGATGCTTTAATGTCAAGTAGTTGAGAAATTCTGGGTTACAAAGATGATCAAAAATATTCTATTTATTAAGTTGGAAAATCTTTGAAAAAAATGCACTGGTCTTTATGATTTTGTTTGCTTTTATAGGACCTAAGGAAAGCTGGATTGCTGATTTTTGCTAATAAACAAGATGTTAAAGAATGCATGACTGTAGCAGAAATCTCCCAGTTTTTGAAACTAACTTCTATTAAAGATCACCAGTGGCATATCCAGGCATGCTGTGCTCTTACTGGCGAGGGGTAAGAAGTTTTCCTCGTGGATAACACGTGTTCAACTTAGAATCATGTATTCTTAAAATCAAAATTTATGGTTACCATGTATAGAATGTTGTGGTAAGGGGGAGATGTAAGACATAGTCCATGTCTAAAATGAGAAAGTTTTTAGCTTCGTTCTATAAAGGATAAAATACACAGCATACATATAATACACATAAACATACTGAACTAACACATGTGAGCATATAGATAGTAGTTGCTGTAGGAGTTCAGAGAAAACTGGAATTTCATGGAGAACTAGCGAAGTCAGGAAACAGTTCTTACCGGTGTTGGGACTTACACTGTAAGAAAGGAATTAACACTCGCTGAGCGTGTATTGTGTCTTGAGTGTTTTCCATGCAGTGTGTCATTTATTCCTGACAATCATGTAGATCATTTGTTTTTAATTTACACTTTACACATGAAGCGGAAATATAAAAGGATTCATGTTTGAAATTAGTTTGGGGGTACTCACTTTTGCCACCAGTGTTATCAGGAGGAAATTGTCATACTTAAAAAAAGTTAGAATGAGAGAGTGTAGTCTGATGGTCCTTGATTCAGGAAAGAAAGATAGGTGCCTACAGTAGAAATTTGCCCTAGTCTGATGCCCAGAGATGAAAGGATTTCAAGAAGGAAGGGGTCAGCATTGTTACATGTAAGGTCACGGACCTGAAGGATGGAGAGAGAGTCCTATTAGGAGAGATAGAAATAGAAGAGGTTATAAATAAGATTAAAAACTAAAGGATGAGAAACTAAATAATATTTTTGTTGTAGTTGTTTTTCCAAAATATGGTGGATCTGTATGTGTTTAAAAGCAGAGAAAAGTTAAATTGGAGATGAAGAATTCTAGAGGTCTTAAATTTGGGGTCAATAGCTTCAAAACTCTTTATGTTGGTTCATCCTTCACCATGGTCTTGAAATGAATTTCTCCCACTTCAGATAATTCATCTGTTTATGCCCCAAGTTTCTGCCCTTTCCTAACACCTGAAGAACCTCAACCCAAAATTAAGACCTCTATTTAGAATCTGTTGTGTATGTACTATTTAAAAGCAGAGAAAAAAGAATTAAATTGGAGATGAAGCTGACTCTTACTCACTGAAATAGAAGGCACTATTACCTTATTATGGACATTTGGAAGAGTATAATTAGAACCTCAAAAAATCAAATCTATTTACTTAAAGAAAAAAATCATAGATAATACCAATTGTCCACATTTCATGTTAATTTAAAAAAACTTACATATTTCTTCATATAGTTTAATATATGTCAAGATATATATAGACATATCTATATACATGTTACCCTTGTGAAAGGTCTTTAAGCAAAAGCACTGATTATAATACTAAATTTGATAATAAAGAAATCATCTAAGGTTGATATACTATTCAACTTGCATACTTTGAAAATTGTGTGGAAAATATATCATTAATTAGGATAGGTATGAACTCTAGCAGTTTCATTTTTAAATGAGGAAATCAATAGGTGATGTTATCTTTTCAATTTTTGGTGTACGTGGGCTTTCATTTACAACAGTCAGCAAGTGGAAATGTTTGGTTTTGGAGGAGATATCGTTTCCCTTATGTAGTCTGGCCACCTTGGTCCAAATTCTTGGTTTTAGTATTGGTTGGCATTTTGACTCCCTTGACTCTCATCTGTGTCCTTTGCTTACCTCTCTAAGCCTGGGCTCCCCCTAATATGGGAAGGTTTCTAGTTTTAGTGTTGTGAAGAAATACTAAAATAATGTATGTTAAGTGTTAGCACAGTTTCTATTTTGCTGTTAGGTAACTACTAATCATTTAACAGTTTGGAGTTAAATAATTTATTCACCTATTCTTATTATTTTGTACCATTTCCTATCAATAATTTAAAAGCAAGGAATCTGGTAACAGAAAAGTGTAGACCAACACCAAAACAATCATTTATTTATTTACCTCATAGAGGCCCTTTTTTCTCTATTTCTATCTTTTGTATTATTAGACTCACACAAAAATCTGAGCGTTTTTTTTTTTAATTTAATATGGCAGCATAGTTTCTCATATCTATAAAAACTCCTCATAGATAATAGTTAATGCTTCATAACAGCCCTTCATTTTATTGTAACATAATCTGTACAACCAGTCCCTCTTGAGAAACATTTAGTTTCTTTTACCACAATGAACATCTCTTTATATTTTGGATTATGCTCAATTACCCATTGTTCAGCAATAACTGGTGTTAGTGATATGAAATTTTATTTCCTTCAAATTTTTAAATATATAGATGTAATATAATATTATATACATAGTTTGTTTTAACAACTCTATATTTAGTTTAATATCCTGCCATTTTTCCTTCATTTATATCATGAACATTTTATCATATTGTAAAATAGTCTTTGAAAGGAAATTTTTAATATTTTATCATATGAATGTTCTATAATTTGTTAAATATTTTCTATATTTCTAGCATTTAAATTTTACTTTTTGCTATCAAATGCTTCTGATTTTTTTTTTTAGGACAGACTTCTAGAAGTAGAAAAAGGGGGTAGAGAGTATTGATATTTTAAATACTCGATACATATTGCTAAATTACTTTCTCTGGGCATTCATTATATAATTACTGAGCTCCTTTTATGTATCAAGCAGTGTTCTAGGCATTAGAGACGAAACAAACAAAAAATCACAGATGTACTGTGTATGAGAGTACAGCTTCACTGCAGTAGCACCAACATTGACTGTTACTGATTTTTTAAGCTTTATTGTTTAGTAAATGAAAAATGACACCTTCTTTTAGTTTGCTGTTCATAGCTTTTTAGTTGAGAATTTAATCAAATAGTTTTATTTTCTGTATAGATTATGCCAAGGACTTGAATGGATGATGTCACGACTTAAGATTAGATGATCTCTGCTGACCTCTTCTCAAAGACTTTGTATAAACGAAGTGCTGGACTTACCTGAAAGCTGCAAAAATTAATGGTTCAGATATATTTATAATAAACTGATTTAAACTTTTTCTATAAGAAGAAAAATTAAGACCACTTATTTGAAAACAAAGACGAAGTCTCACCTTCCAATCTGCTTTCTCATTAGTTTCTTCCAAAGCAAGGTTTTAAAGCTGTGATTTACATTTTTCTCATAATGAATCCTCTCAGGACATTGTGTAGGCTGTGGTAAGTCCAAAGGGAGAGGAAGACATTTTTAACTTTAAGAGCTTTATTATCAGTACAACCCTCCTTAGTTGAATGTTCTTGTTCCATTAAATCAAAATACAAATCAGTACGGATATTGTTTCCAATATTTTAAAATGTAATGTTTCTTATAAAAGTATTTTGCATAAGGTTGTGTATGTATTGTATATGTACCTCAAGTTCAAGTTAATGGTTTTGATTTATGTTCTAAAGCAAAGTGAATAACAAAAATTAATAATATCCTTAATTATAACCATAATGAGATGAGTACTGACATTGGTGTTAAGTGCCAATTTGTACTTTTTTCCTGTGTTCTCTGTATTGTACTAACCCCCCAAATTATTGAGATGCTTTAAAAAAAAGAGAGAAAGGAAAAAAGCTTGACATTGTATACCTATTTTTTTTGTTGATCAAATCACACACATGGAAACATATAATCTAATGAGTAGACTATCACATTCTTGGCTTCGTATTTCTAATGGGCACAGTTGCACATTAATTGTTTCCTTTATTGGACCTTATGCCATCTAAATTACTGAGCAAATTGTTAATCCATTGATCAATTGTGATGAAAATTACCAAGTAATTTTTCTAGCGTTAATTAAAAACTGTTGTCTGAAATGTCTACCCAGAGAAGTGTTGCCTTATAAATATCAAATAATTTAGTTAGGTTCTTCTTAGGTATTAAATTACATGTCAAGCATTTAAAGTGAATTTGAGGTGAAAATTAAAGCAACAAAGGTAATTTCTTAATTCGAAGATTTTTTATTCATCTTGAGTTGAAATAGTTTGAGATTTTTTTGTTTCTATGAGTTTAGTTTTACACCATGTGAATGCATTGTTTGACAACTATAAAATACAATTTTTTGATGCTTTTAAGAATTTGGTTTAAAAATTGATCCACATGACGTATTATTTTTACTAAGAAGTAACTTGGCCCAAAATATTTTGTTTGCTTACGCTACCTTTTTATTTTATATCTGAAAGTCAGAGGTATTTCTGCTATAAACAAGCTTATCCTAAATGTGTTAAAACGTATTCTTGGGTACTCTGTATGTCTTTCATTGCCCAGAACTCTGAAGACTAAAACTGACATGTTTTAGAATATTCAAGAAAAAAATAACTACTTTTAATACCGGCTTTTTAGATTTCATGAAGATTTTGATGAGGAATAATAGTATATACGATAAGCATTGACAAAACTTTGAAAATTCCTTTTTGTAAAGTTGAAATATTCACTGTCTAAAACCAAGTCATGCATGGGAGATCAGTGTTTAACATTGGATGTTTTGTGTTTTATATTTATATTATAATGTTCAAAATGCAAGTATAACATTTTATTACTTGTCAGTTTGCTTTTACAAAAGTAAATCCTAAATTACTAAGCTTTATTTGTTCATATGTTCTCATACTTTTTTCAAATCACAATAAGGATGTCATTGTTATACATTAAAAACTCCCTTAAAACCCAAATCATAAGAGACAAGTATTCTATATTGTAGCCCAGCAAATTCACACTTGTTGTCCTTTCTATTTTTTAATTTGAATAATCACGGTTTAGTCTCTTGGATTGCTGTCATATCAGTTCAACAATATATACCAGCACAATCCCTTGTCATCAAGGTGTTGGCTAAAACTTATTCTCAATTGGATGTTTATCGCATACACTACATTGTTACAGTTGGTTTAGTGTAGTAGATTATTGACATGGCATCATGAGAATGCATGAAATCTTATACCACATTTGTAAAACATGATTTTGTTGTTACAGTCTACCCTTCTAGGCTAAGCATTAGAAATAAGGTGTTATCTATATAGTTGTGCATAAAACCAAAATTACAGTGGGGAAAAAAATTTTAATTGGTATTCAAAAATGCATCAAAATTATTTTAACAGTATTACTTCCAGATAAAATGGAGAGCTTCATGAATAGTCATATTGACAATTTATATATAGTTTAAGTGGAATTAAGCAAAGGGCAATCATTTTGGTTTTTAAATATGCTACTTTTGGATATAAACAAACATTAGAGTCATTGTGCTCAGCTTCAAAAAGAAAAAAGCTTCATACCTCTGTACATGTGGCTGGATTTAAATATCTTGTGTTTGATACTAATTTTGAAAGCCATAGGACTTCTTTTGATATTTTGGTAAAAGTAACCATATATGCTATCAGCATTTAAATATGTTTAATTTTGACATAATAGTATTTATAAAGTATATCTTACATATTATATTGAAGATTCTTCTTTGAATTTTCAGTTCTGTCTTCTTTGGCTCTCACAATGGGCAAAGAATATAATGAAGGCAGGCGATTTGAGGGACAAGGCGAAGTGGGTGGGGACTATGACATTTTGCCTTAAGAAAAAAAAAGTGCTTTAGCACTACTGACTGGCATTTTTAATGCATGTAGTTAAAGTGATTTTAGAAGTGTGTCATGAAATAGGAGAGTTTCTGTTTTCTGGACTTTAAGAAGTGCCTAGGAGGTAGTTACAATGAGACCACAGAGAAGTGCAGGGCACTCAAGGAAAATTAGGAAGTCCCTGAGATGTTCTTTTCTTTTTTGTCTGAGTGTATAGTATTAAGATGCCTAGAAATGGGATTCTATTTTACCTTCTCTGATAGGCACTTTACATTTCTTGCTGTGACTACAGCAACCACATACAGTACAGACAACCTCAAAATCTGTTTATATTAGTGTAAATAGAAAAACTATAGATAATTTTCTAATTTTCTCTGCAGGCATTTTTGAGACTATAACTGTAGTGTGTTTTACTTTGTATGTAAGGGATAGCAGCATTTCACAGATTATCTGTGGACTTTGGGGTCATCTTCTCTCAATTGCCCAGTTGTATCTTGGCATCAATTCATCTTTCAAGGCTAGGTAGAGACCAGGTTTCTTTGCATGACTTAACTTTGACTGCTCCCAAATATAATCCGGAACTTTTTGCTTGAGGGTCAGCTTTCCCGTAGCTCAGCCATTCCTTGCTGTCTTGTATCTTTATTCACCATCAGTGAAGATATGTCATCTTGGTCCTGGAGGTATTCTAAACTTTGTCTATATCTATTGTTCCCAAAACCACTAGTTTCTAAACAAGTTTTCCAGTTTTTTGCTATCCTTCCACCTCTGGCTTGATTCATTGATTTGTACTTTGTTCATTAGAGAGTATTGTCAGAATTGTTGAGTACATCAAAAGACTGGCTTGCTGTGTATTCAGCATATAAATGCAATAATAGAAACCTTAAATTATTTTGTATTTAACATTTTAATGGTTCTTAATTTTAGCTTTACATGCTGGAAAGTAGATTCAAAAAGATAAGAGAACTACCTTGACTTTGCCAGCTCTTTGAGATAATAAGTTAGATGTGGAAAGGATTGAATTTTGAGTATTATCTCTCCATTACCAAAAATGGGTTTCATTTTCGAGAATACCAGTACAAATAATTTCAGTGAGAAAAAGATGTCAAACCAGATTTACGTATAGTGTTTAACCTGAAGACATCTTTACATCCTTAAAAATAGGCCACATTCCATTTTTTTCTTCGTGTTTACTTAAAAAAGATAAACATTAAATGTCTAAAAGAATTAGTAATAAGAGACTATCTTTACAAAATAAACCTGTTGAAATGGGCTTCAAAAGATATAAAAATCATCAACTGTCATATGTTGACTCTGTAGTTGCTGTCATAGAAAATACTTGAACTTTCAAGTTGCATGTATATAAAAACAAAACTCTAATATTGTGCTCCCTCAAAGAATGTATGATAATTTTAAAACCATAATGGTAAAGGAAAGAAAGAATTTAAAAACTTTGGATGCTAAAAAGTAACTTCTATGAAACCCTAAAATTGTGTGTAGAATTGTAAAGAAATTGTACCAGGATACAGTTGGGTTAATTATGCAGTATTTTTTATCAGTTGTCCAGCCCTTGTATATCCTAAACACTAAAGCTTCAATCTTTATGGTCTTGCCTGCTAGATCTTTGGTAGAAAATTCCTATGGTCTGTACTCAAGAAGTGCCTAAAATTGATTCGTGTTGATTTTTAAGTCCTCTAATAAATTATATGTTTTATATTGTATTATCTGTGTTTGGCTTACTGATGACACAGCCCTGAGGTTTCCTAGGTCACAATTTATGTTTTATTTCAGTAAAAAGCCTTGAAATTGAAAATACCCACAATAACCCTCAACAAACTGCAGTTTAAGGAAACATGAAACCATTTTTTTTCTCCTTCCTAATGTAAGTATTCTGTGACCCTGATGTTAGTTAATGAAGAGGCTAGAAAACTGAACCCTATTTCTTTTAAAAATAATTTTAACATACAGAAAATTATATTGTGTGTTGTAAAACTTAGTAAAAGTTTGTTATGTTAAGAATAGCCTCTTAATTTTCCTTATATTTAGTGGTTAGCAATTTTGAGTCATACATGTTATTTAGATCTTGAGCCGTTTTGTGTGTGTACCCACCAAAATCCTTCTTCTTTGTTTAGATTCTACTTAGAAACCAAAATATTTGATAAACCCTATTATGTTTCTCACATATATATATTTTTTTAACCATAAAATGTGACTGTAAACTCTAGGGCAAAGACTTGACCATATTTTCAGTGGCTTACAATTACATTGTGTTCATCATTTTAAATCATCCTGCATGGAAAATGAAATGTGTATATGATTTTAAGTTATTGTAATGTATACTCTTTTCCAAAACTTCATATATTGAAGTTTTAGAATTCCTCTAATTATTTTTGCTTGAAACTAATCCTTTAGACTCAGATAACCTTTTCTTACATTATGTCTCTGTATGATTCCTTGAGAGGAGATAATATCTGCAGAGCACTTTTAAAGATACTTTCTAGGTTAATATTCAAGATACCACATTGAAGAGGAAGCTCTAATGAGGGCTCTTTTTGGTTCCTAGAGATGAGATAAATGTATGCTAATTTTAATGTGTACTTAAAATACATTTTACTAATTGTATCGATTTTAAATATGACAAATTCTTCTTGTAGATATTGATCTTCCTTGCTTATCGTATTTTCCTAGAAAAACCTAGATGAAAATGTGTTCCAACTAGTCTCTTTGTGTAACTCCCTCTCCCCAGTTGAGCTCTATGTATATTGACATAATCAAAACTGCATTTAAAACAACAAACTAGATTACCTTTTGAAAATTTTTAGGTTTGTTGTACTCGAATTTCTAATATGATAAAATGGTTTGATTCAAGCTTCGTATGCAAGAAAAGGTAGGAAATTTGTCTTATCTTTATTGTTTTATGAACTTATGTTTCTCTGTATACTAGGAAAATTTTGCACTCAAGGAATATTCCAAAAAGTGATGATGTTAGAGCACTTGGGTGCTTTTGTATTTCATCAGTGCTGATGTGTTCAGTACCTAGGGAGATCAGGCGTCAAGATCTTCCTGATTAGACAGCTTCACAGATGGCTGGGAGAAATTTTGTTTGTGCTCAGGTTGAGAGGGAGTGGCAAACTGAGGTAGGACCTCTCCATTGGTTAAAGAAGTACAGTCAGCTGCTTTGCAGATGTGTTATTTCATTATGCTTGTAACAGTGTCAAGCTACAGAATTGTAAGGCATCGGGTCAGGTGACCAGTAATAGGACCTTGTTTATGTTGAAATAAAAGAATAATGTTAAAGTATGTTTGGGGGGAAATGACAAATGAGATTTTACTGGTGAATTTCTATGTTTAATATGTACATTAACTTTTTTAAAAAGTTGCATGTTAACCTGGGATAAAATATTGTCTCTGCTTTATGCTTTACTGAGTACAAAGAAAAAGAAAAAAAGACTTCAGTTGTTACTCTATTATGTACTATTTACGTATACCTTTTCTTTTTGAAAGGGCTAATTATAATTATTATTCACCCATCTGTGTTGTCAGTGTTTTTATTCTGGTTTATTCTCTGAATGTGTGCAGATTTGTTGATGGTAGTTCTATTAACTGTCCAAGGCTGGGATCTGCCAGGGCAATTATAAAGGTATTTCCATTATGAAAATGGAAAAAAAAGATTGTCTTGATCTTCTCTAAGAACTTTTTTATGGCACTTAGTCAATTAATAGAGAACATTCTATCTTTTACTTACGGATATTTGAATTGGACATGAACCTGATAATAGTGACCGGTTTTAAGTGGTTAATTGGTCTTACAATGTTGAGGAAAATCGAGTCATTTTAAATGAATGTTATTAAAACTGAATATTTATAAGAATGGTTGCTAGTAAACAGAAGAAAAATGAGTAAAAGTTGGGGGAGAGAAGTCACCCCCATGCATATGTTTATTTGAATATCAGTCTTTTCTTCCCTCCACTAAAATGTAAGCTTGAGAACACCAGTCACCATGAGTTGTGCTTATCATTTTATATCTCTTAGTGCTGAGCATAGTGTGTATGTAGTATGTAACAAGTGTTCAATTCATATGTGTTGATGAATTAATGAATGAGTGAATGAACTATTAATATTTTTGTGGGCTTTTCCCACCATAGGTACGTTTTCCTTACCTATGTATTTGTAGCATACTACCTCATTTAATTCTTATCTCAATTCTTACTTAATTCTGCCTTGCTTCAGAAGGGATACAAAGTGATTATGTTTTTCTCATTAGTTTTTGCATCATGCAGTACAAATACATACAAATTTTACTTCTTTGAAATCTGTATGGACCTGCATCTTGGAATGTCAGGAAGGTCCCAGAGTTTGTTGTAAGCATCTGCAGACACTGAAATAGTAAATGGTACAACAGCTCTTTTGGGGCAAGATCTGTGTCATCTTTTTCTTGATCTTTTATGACCTTTTTTTTTTTTTAGGTTTTACATCTGGGATATCCTCCTTTTGCTAGTAAATAACCTTTGTCCCATGAAAAGAATGATATTTTTACAACATAAAATAGCCTCTCGTAATCTTTTCAAATGTGTTCCTTATGACTGCTACCAGCCTTTTGAGATTCCACGAGTTTGGCTGCCTGAGTGACCAGTTATTACATGCCTTACGTTTCAGCAAATCATTCTGTATCAAAGTAGGTGAAATCTTGTTGAAGTAGTTCAAATGTTTGGATGCTTCTAGTAGATAGATCCCCAAATAATATTCTACTGTATTTCCATTATTTTTTTGTACAGACAGTCCTGAACTTACAGTGGTTCAACTTAAAATTTTTCAGCTTTATGATGGTGCGAAAGCAATCTCTATTCAGTAGAAACTGGCTAGGCTAACCTATGGTTTTGGGTAGGTTAGATGTTTTTAAGTGTATTTTTGACTTACGATATTTTTGATTTACATTGGGTTTATCAGGACATAATTCCATCATAAGTCAAGGAGGATTTTGATGGATATCTTTCACTGAAAGATTTTTTCATAGTTAGGAGTAATTGGCTAGAATCCCAGAAGTGAAACTACTGGATTAAATGGTCTGATGGGATTTGAGAATGCCTATTCCATATTTTTTTTTTTTTTTTGAAGGAAGCCTTTCCACTTCAATGAAAAGATAAACATGTCTTATTTTACACTTATTTGATCGAGACTTTTTCTATATATTTCATTTTCCTCTTTATTATTTTTTTACTTTGTTCACTTATTTATAAAATCCTAGCGTTTTTCTTATGAATGAATTAATTTCCTTAAATAGTATTTAGTCCTTAGCTATGTTTTTGCGGATTTCCCAGTTTGCCTTTTAATTTTTATAATTATCTTTTTAGCATATACAAGTTTTTATTGATGTAAAAAATTACATAAGAAATACATGATTCTTTGAAAACCAGAAAAGAGACTTAATAAGCAAAAAGAAAATTAAGATTGTTCATTGTCCTACCATTCTAAGTAAACCAGTACCAACACTTTTGGAATGGATATATTTGAGTAAATATTTTGAATGTAGAATTCTAAAATGCCCTGTAATTATAAACATCTTTTACATATAAAACATTATTTTAATGGATGTATCGTATTTGCTTTTTGGACTATCATAATTTATTGAACTAGTCTGTCGATTCTGTGCATTAAGTTGTTCTTTATTTTTCACCATTAAAAATAATACTGCATTAGTACTCGAATTTATTTTTCATTCAGTTTACCAGTTGAATTGCTGTGTCAAAGTGAATGGATTTTTAAAAGAAATTATTGACATGTTGTCCATTGTCTTCCCAAAAGATTAGCCACATCCTGGTCAATTCTTTATTAGTTTGAACATCTCTATAGATTTTTGGTCATTGTATAAATTTTCTACCTCTATTGTACATTTTTGCTACTGGCTTTGTTAAAGTTCTTTTAAAGAATATTAATCTTCCATGTGTCATTAAAATTTTTACCTTTTTATGATCTCTTCAGTTGGTCTCATCAGAATTTTAAATTTTAGTTGGATATATTAGGCTTTTTTTATGGTTTGTGCCTCTTGTTCAAATTTTTTGTGATGGAGAAAATGAAAAATAACTAATGGTTGTAGGATATTTTTATTTGTACTCTGAGTGAATAATAATGACTTTCTGTTTATTCCCCCCTCAATAAATTGTTTACAGTTAGCGCGATAGAATCAATAAAGAGGACTTGATTGGCTTTTCAACCTACTGGATTATATGTCCTACATTTTAAGTGTTTATAAGAATTTGCCTTTTTCGCAGGACCCTACTTAAGCCGTACATTCAGTGTAGTTTAACAGTAAAAATTTTGAAAGTCTGTGTTAATTCATTTAAAAAATATATCCAATGTCCATCATCAATATTAAGGAATTTGTTAAATTATAAGACGAAATATGCTACCATTAATTTTTTTTTTTTACAAGGAGATTTAATACAGGGAAACGATTGATAATTGTGAAATATTAAGGGGGAGAAGGATATAAACTTTTACATCTAGTATGATCTCAACTCTACTTGGCAAAATGAAAAATAAGAATAAAATATGTCATAACATATATTACAGATTGTTGTAAAGCAGGAGCATTATGTTGATATTTTTCTGATTCTTCCTGTTTCTGTATATTTCAAACATCCTACATTGAGTACATTCTGTTGATAATTAGAGAATAGTATTAGATTGTTTTTGTTTGTTTTTAAAAAACCTTAATGGGGTTGGGAAAGAATACAAAAAAGTTTCTAATTTATAAATAAATAAGATGCTGTGTTTTTTGTTGTTGTTATTGTTTGTTTCTTCTAACACTGCATTTGGGGGCATTATGAAGAGAGAGCTAGATGATTAGAAAAATTAATTCACTGATGCAAACCATTGCAAACTCAGTGCAAGTTTATGATTTTGATAAGAATTCCCACCAGTCATTGTGGATCTAGTGATTGACTACTCTTTTAGTTTATTACTTGACGTTTTGCCACTTTTGAAGGATTCTTGATTCTAGATAATCTCCATTCAGATATAAACAAAATGCAGTGAGAATTAGAAAACAGGTATTTCCAGCGGGGGATTCAGGAAGGCTTTGTATAAGCAAGATGGTACTGTAAACCAGCTAGGAGACCACTTGGATTATAAATTTAGGTCTGCCATTAGTGTACGCAAGGCTTTGTTCAAATTTTCAATGTTTTAGTACCTCAACTTCTTCATTTTTCAAAATCTTTTTAGCAATTGACCCCTTTTTTCCTAAGTGATGTTCTGTGGAACCTGTATGTAAAACAAAAACATAAAATTAAAGTTTTATTTTCGAGTATTTTCTGTAAGTTCCCAAAATATTACTGGGTGAACACAATGGCAATTTAATTAAAATTAAGTTTAATTAAAATTTTACATTGATTTTTAAATTTAATGTGTGTTCACTTTTTAAAAGTGAGAAAATAATTGACAAAAAATGGAAAAGATCGATTTACCCAGATAGAAATGATAAATATTAAATGTTTAATGGTCTTATTGTACATTTAAATGGTGTTAACATTTCAGCTTTATTTTAATAAAAATTCAATGATATTTTAGAATGATAGTCATTTTTTAAAGAAAAAGTAAAATCTTTTTTCATGTTGTAAAGTCATCCGCTTGTTTTGTATTTTATGAATAAGAACCAAATTAAAATTATTTATAGTTTAATATATTTGCCAGATGAGAACATTACTTTAATAAAAGATATAACATAAATTTATACATTTTTATGGTGAATATGGCTGTAAAATATTTTTATATTATTTGATTAAATAAGAAAGTCACTTTATTAAGATGAAATAATTTGCTACCCCTTAAAATAAATATGAGCCCATCCATGAAAGAGCAAAGTTGACATATGAATAAAAGGGAATTATACTAAATGATTAATGGTGGCTTTCTCTAGGGAATGGGATTGTGGGACTGAAAGTCTAACTTTTAAGCTAGGTATAAAAGTGACTTAGTTTTAACTATTAAATTTTTGTTATTTTATTTAATTATTAAATTGTTATTGTATCAAAATAATTATAATTAAACAGTATGTTAAAATTTTGATATTAAATTGAAATAGAGAAGTATATATCAAATTATGAATATAAGCAAATAATTTATTTTCTAGTCCAACTGAATATCATTATAGTTAACATGCTGTTTGAATATTAGAAAACAAGCTAACACTTTAAACATTAATAATGTATTAAGATTGAAACAACTTTTACTCTAAAATGAGATTCAAGTAATTCATGCTAAACTTTCTTTTGATTTAAGTTGCTAGCTGATAGAGTATAAAAGTGATAACTTTCTGAATACAGTTGCTGTAAACAAGCATATATTCAGTTCCTGCTATGTGAAAAGGAGCCAAATGTAATGATTGTGGTCTTATTCAAGGACAGAGTGCTGATGATATCATTTCCATAGACAGTAAGTACACTGCTGCAGCTGGCTCTGTCAGTCTAGGAAGAGAGCTCACTTAAAAAAGACCATGAAGTAATTTGCAATTCAGGGGCTATATTTTAAAGGAAATGAGCTGGAAGTCTGCTCATTAAAGTTAAAGGAAACCTTTGGGGTTTTTTTTTCTTTTAATATTTTTGTTTCTTCAAAGTACAACCATACCAGCTTGTTTAGCTTGTTAAAAATTCAGGAAAAGGTGACTGTTAATTAAGAATTTTGCATTTTGAAAAAGTTCTTTGAAAAGAGACCTCAGGGAAAAATATATATCTATAGATATATATATCTAGAATTTAAACCTATATTGCTAATTTCATTTAAAACATTTAAGAAATGTGTTTCAGAGATATTTATTAGTTATCTGTTTCTCACAGTGTCAGTGTGACAAGCATGTACGTACACGAATCTCAGTGGCATGAAAGCAGAGTCAGAATTCCCACCTTCCTTGGCTCAAAGGAAACACAAAGTGAGTAGCATTCAATGGACCAGTAAGCTGGCCAAGAATCCACTAAGTTCATATTTAGTTTTCTTAGGACAACATTTTATCTGCTGATTTTATCAAATGATTTTTTGATACTGTATGTATCTCCTCACTCCCCTTTTCTAGTGTCCCAAAATGTCCTTTGGCTTCCTATGGACAACAGCAAAATAAAATTCAACATACCCGAGTACTTACCAACACTCAGAAACTGCTAAAAGATCAGGAATGTAGAGAATGAAGCCATGTATGTTCCCAGGTTGCTTAATCTGGTGGGAAAGATGTATGGACAAATAGATTGTGCAGTGTTAGAAACATAACAGATGCAAGTATTTCTGCTTTCAGGCATAACATTCTGACCTGTCTACTCTTGGAATGGCCCGAAGAGCTGTAAGAAGTAAATCTATGCCAGAGCATCTCTCCGTTTTATTACTTATCAGTTGTAAGTTTTGTTTTTTTATTGGGATATTTTTTTCATATTCATGCTTCTACTGACTTCTCTTTTACCCCTGTATCGTGGGCATTGCTCAAGAGACACCATCACTCTGCTACTCCAAGTCATTTGGAATTTTACCATACCTCCTCCATCCCTGACCTTTTGCTCTTCTTTTCAGGTTCATGTCATGTACAGATTCATGTTGCCTAAGTCATTGTTTAGATGATGACTGAAATGTGGTGTGTATTCAGAAAGAATTTATCCTCCCTACCCACCTCTTGCTTCCTTCTCAGTTCCCCAAATGTCAGTACCACTGATTTCTTGGCCCTGCAAAGTAACAATCTCCTAAAACAGAATGGTCTCTCCTTTTTCCCCTTCCTCTCTCCCTTTCACCTTTATGACCAGTATCTATGTTTCTTTCCTTCTTTCAAACCTCAAATAAAAAACTTTGAAAGGTTCTCCTGGTTTGAAGTCAAAACTATTTCTTTCTTAAGCCTGTTTCAAAATTACTGCTCAAATTATTTAATACTAATCAGTTACATTTTTACAAAACCGATATACCAAATATTTTTAAAAGACAGTTTTAGCAGAACAGCAACATTATTTCAAGCAGATGTTTGCTAATAATTACATATTTAAATTAACAGTGTTTCACATTCACATTTCTTAAATTCCATGTCTACTCAACATTAATGATATTAAAATTAATTCTAATGTATTGTTTGAAAAATAAGTGGATACAAACAGCTCTGATTTGAACTTTGACATATATTTAGAGATTTTCTAGTCCAGACCTTTATTTTTATTTCCTTCAATTACTGGAACCATATAAATAAGCCTATTGAATCTTTCAGTATACAAGAACCAAAATACCCTAAAAGATCATATGCTGCTGAATTTGGCTAACTTTCTACAGATTTATCTATTTACCTATAAACCAATACTTTTATTTTTGTATTCTTCTTAACAGTTTTACACCAAAATAAGTTGGAGATTCCTTGAAGTTGTTTAATTCTCCCATAATTGTTCAGGGCAGCCATTCCAGTTTGATGGCCTGATCCTTCCATCTTCTGGCTCCACCAATTCCAAGGCCTTGCTGTCCTCTGCATCAAGCCTGAAGAAGGGGACAGAGCATGGAGGAGGTATGTCTGCTTCTTAAAGGCTTCGGCCCTGGAAGTGGCATGCCTCACTTCTGCTTACATTCCTGCAAGAGCATATCACAACTGATGGGAAGAGTGGGGCTTGGCAACTGTGCTCTGCTGTGTAGAGCAAGTGTTTGGACAAGTTAAATAATTACAACCCCACAGTCAGGAGCACATTTAACTCAGTTAACTCAGACTGAGGGACAGATCAAGAAAGGCTTTGGGGAAGAGGTGGCATTTGAACTGTGTCTTGAAGAGTGTAAGCTAATCAAGTTTTGAAAAAGGACAAGATTTTAGGCAGAGAAAACATGCAAAAGGGAAGGAAATGTGAAAGAATATGGTCTGTTGGGGGACAAAAGTAGTGCAATGTATTTTGGAGCCATGATAAGCCAAAAGATTTGGCTAACAAGCCTTTAGATTTGAAGGAAAAATTATGTATTTAAGAGATTTTTACAGTATAGAATCCACAAGGTTTGGGGTGAGATGCGACCTAAATGATGAGAAATAGCCAGGTCAGTGAACTTCTGGGATCACCACATGCCAGGCAGAGGGAATAGGAAGTGCAAGGGCCTCAGATGGAAATGGGGTTGGTGTGTTCAAAGAAAACATAGGCTTATGGGAGGAGATGAGGTCTGAGATGAGGCAGTGAGAGGCCTCATCATGCAGGGCCTTTTAAACTGTGGTGGAAATTTTGGATTTTATTCTAAGTCCAGTGGAAAGTTAGACGATTTTAAGCAGGAGAGTGACATCATTCTGCAATAAGACTAGATTAAGGACACATAAGATTTATTCAATCACAACAAGTATATTCTGACTCCACTTCCCTGAATATTACATTTTCTAAATGGTACATGCCAATGTAGTGTACTCATATGGAACTCATTATTTTAGAGTGAAATTGAGATGTTTATTTGAATTAATACTCTCAATTGTCTCATGGTGAGAAAAACAAGTTCATATGCAACAGGAATAGAGAAAGACAACAGGTATAGAGAGAGAAGGGAATGGGAAAAAACAATGCCAAATGTTGCTCATCTTAGTTTTTTAAAAATGAACATTTGGGGTATGGTTTTGTAAAAGCTGAGCCAAGATTCAGTGTTGGGGGAGGTCCCCACAGAAAGTTTTCCTCTCATGTAAGTAAGATAATGGCATCATTTCCCCCGAATGCTGTGCCCTGATCCTCTTGGAGTCTATGAAAGGTGCTGGCCCAACAACCCCATGCAGAGGATTCTGGGAAGCGTTCAAGAGAAGTTCAAGAAAATTGTAAATTAGAAAACTACTTCTAAATAAGAATCTGGTACATATTAATCTGAAAATGTACTTTTCAAAAATGCCTTCATTCGACCAAAGGAATGGTTTTAGGAAAAGGGAAAGTCTCAGAACAAACTTTGACACAGTTTCCTGTAGGATGGGATATGAGGCATTTCTGAGAGGGTTTCCTATTCAAAATGACTCCCCATAACCCATCACTAACCCCAGAAACTTTCCAAAGTGCTTGGTACTAAAATGTCCTTTCTGATGTTTGGGGCAAGACTTTTATCTCTTAGAGGACAGTGAAAATGCGTGTACCCTGATAGGGCAGATGCATTAAAAACCGAAAGACAAGTGTCCCATCTGTACACAGAAGGTGCTCCTCCTCCTAACCCACAATTCAGGCCTCCTGCTCTACTTTCCTTTCCCCATCCTCAGCAGGCATTGCTTCATAATTAAAACAAACAAACAAACGAACAAACAAGGCTATAGGATGTGAACTTCTTGATTTTCTACTCTCGTATCTACACGTTTATCTCCCTCTGACCGTTTTCTGGGAATTAGTTCCCTCCAGTCACTGAAGCTGATTCAAGTCTCCTTCCATAACTGTACTCTTGGTTCTGTTTCCTCTTGTACTAATTCCTTAATTGTTTGCTTCCTTCAAAAATATTTTATTGAGCTCCTACTATGTGCAGGCCATCGGGCTTGATGTTGGGAATATAGCTGTGATAATTAAGATGGTCAAGGTGGAGCTTCCATTCTATCAAAAAGAATCTTCCTCATTGGATTTTCAATCTCTTTTGAGTGGCTCTATCTCTACAACCTAAAACCACATCCAATTCTCTACCTATTAAAAAAAAATAGAAAAAGATGGAAAGTCTCAACTGTATGTTCCCTTCTTCATACTACTTATCTCTTCCCTTGTCAAATGAGAAAACCTATTACAGTGTTTCTAAAATGAGTTCACATGAACTATTTTTAAAGAACCTTGATCAATATCTTGCACTCTATACACAAATAAACTCTAAATGGGATATAGACCTAATCATAAAACTTAAAACTATAAAACTTCATTGGAAAACATGGAAGAAAATCTTTGTGACCTTGGGATATGTTACCAAAATATGAGCCATAAAAGAAAAAAGTTGACACATTGGGCTTATTAAAATTAAGAACTTCAGGAGACACTGATAAGAGAATGAAAAGATAAGCCATGCATTGGGACAAAATATTTCCAAATTGCATATCTTATAAAGAATTTATATCCAGAATATACTAAGAGTTCAAAACCCAACAACAAGGAAATAAACAACTGGATTAAAAAAATGGGCAAAAGGTCTGAACAGACATTTCACCAAAGTAGATAGACAGATGACAAATAATCACATGAAAAGATGCTCATCAGCATTGGCCATTAAAAAAATACAGATTAAAACCATAAGCAATTTTCATGTAAAAGACTGACTGAAACAAGGAATACTACTTGGAATGGAATACTACTAAACAATGGAATACTACTCAGCAATAAAAAGGAACTATTTATACACAACAATATGCATGGATCTCAGAATTATGCTGACTAAGTCAGATGAAGAAGATTGCATACTGCATGATTCCATTTATGTAGAATTCTAGAAAATGCAAAGTAATCTAGAGTGACAGCAGATCAGTGGTTTCTTGGGGATGGACTGAGAGGCATGGGAGGTAGGATTACAATGTGTTATGAGGAAACATTTTGGGATGATAGATATGCTCATTTTTTCTCTTATAATGATGATGGTTTCATGAATATATACATAAGCCAAAACTTAACAAATTGTATCCTTAAATTTGTGCGATGTATTATATGTCAATTATACTTCAACCAAAGTTTTTTTTTTTTTTTTTTTTTTTTAAGGCTACAGATCGTTCAATTCCATTAGTATGACGTTCTTGCAAAAGCACATATATAGGGACAGAAAACATATCGGTGGTTTCTAGGAGCTAACTAGGGGTGGTAGGAGGGTTAGCCATAAAGTAGAATGGGGGACACTTTTGGAATTATAGACCGTTTTATATTTTGATTGTAGTGATGGCTATATAACTATACGTATTTGTCAAAATTCATAGGACTGTACACTAAAGAGTTAATTTTACTGTATATAAATTATGCCTTAAATTTTGAAATAGAAACATTAAATGATTCTATGAACATCAGTATTGTTTTTTTTAAATTCCACACAACAGCATACATATAAAATCAAGTATATTTTTTATAAATCATGTTTATTACTTATATATTTAAACCAAAATACAATTACAAATCAAAATTTAAAAACTACAAATTCAATACCATTCAAATAAGCAACACTAATTCAGCAAGATGTGGACAATGTTATTTTGCTGAAAACAACATTTGTAGGTGCAGAATCTTTCTCTGAGACCAGCTACCCAGCCACCCCCATTACCTAGCACAGAATGCACTTTCCCTCAAGTCTTATCTGCCCTCCTGGATGGTCTTTCCCTTCTACATCCTCACAGCCACTTCACCCCCCAACTATCCAGCTTTACTTGTGTCTCAGCCTCAGGCATCAGTTGCCAGTCATTTTCTGTTCCCCAGAGCTCTCCTGTTAGATAAGGGAAAATGGGAGCTTCTGATCCTACAACTGGAAAAGGAGGACGAGAAAGCTACCACATGAGTTTGACCTGAGAACAGAAAATCTGAAAAACAAACTGGGAAAGTTACACTTCTACTGACACAAAACCTTTTTTTTATGCTGAGAATGTCTGTCTCTGTTGCAGCTTTTTTTTTTTGTGCTGAGAATGTCTGTCTCTGTCACAGACAAAAGAACCCCTTCTATTACCTTAGCCTTAGAGGTACCAGGCTTGAGAGGGCGGGGCAGGGGAGAATGGGGAAGACCCATCCTTTAAAGCCTATTGTCCCATTGTAGGCTCTGAGCCACTTGAAGACAGAGGACTTTAATTAATCTTTGTATCCTCAGTGCCTTGCAATACTTGACATCTGTCAGCCAATCAATGAATGCATAAACGAGTAAATGAATGAATCAGATTCATTCAATTGTGATGAATAAAGCTTCAATGATTAAATGGTGCAACCCAAATACAACTTGATTTTCGCCTTAATTTATTAGTAGGTGTGACAGGCATCTGCTTCATGTGCCAACCCTTAATAACATCCAGTGATGCTTGTTTTCTAGATGGAGATCCCAAGTGAAATGGAATCTGGAAGAGGCTTTGGGGACTGACTTTCATAGAGGTTTCTGTCTAGCTCATCTTACTAAAAAGCTTCAGAAGTCCACATATTTTTAAAATAGAAAATACAGACTCTGTAATCTTGGACAAGTTTGATCATTTCTCTGAGGCTCCATTCCTTCAGTAGTAAAATGGGGATAATACTAGCATCAGCTTAATAGAGTTGGTGTGATTAAACGAATCAATGCATATAAAGAGATTGGCCCAGTGCATGCTACAAAGTAATAATAAATGTTGACTACTACTCCTCCACCTCCTCCTTGTCCTCCTGTTACTACTACGATCAATACTACCACAGCCTTTGCTAGTATTTTTGCTTTCTATTTCCCATTAAGATGTGAGTATAGCTCTGCTTAATTAAAAGAAGTATTCTGAACTCTGACTATTCTCCTTTAAGCTCACTTAGGAGAATATAAAGAATTGCCATCTGGCATAATTTCACTTGGGATCTCCATAGGAAACTATCGATTTATATTTAAAGTTAAATAGACTAAATTTGAATGGTTTACCAGCTCCTAGGCACATAGAATTTTTCCTTTAGAGAAAAAAAAAGAAAAACCACTTATTCTCAGGAGGAAAAATGGCGCTAAATTAGAATGTATTTTGGACATAGAGATTCTACACAATTTGTTCTTAAATCTCTAGTCATCTAGGTAAAAAGTGGATTTCCAAAAGGGAGGGGAGAATGGTGCTGTGAGAAATAAGACCTTGCCCTTGGGTCTGGTCTTTGCAGGGAGGTAGTATAGGCTGATGGTGGCCTGCCAGTGTTTAAGCTGGACTCAGT